TTATCCTCAGTAAGTAGAGTCTGTCAACATTGCTGCATGGATGAAGGCCATGAGTGTCATTATTCTTCTGGTCTTCCTATCCAGGGCTTCTAGTTCTGCTTGAGTCCAGTCCACTATTCCAGCTGTGTATCTAATGACTGGAATTGCCCAGGTGTTAATTGCCTTGATGATATTTCCCCCACTGAGTTTGGACTTTAAGATCTTCTTCGCTCTCATGATATATTCACTATTAACCTTCTTGACTTCAATGTGCTTGACATTCTCAGCTTGAAGGATGCCCAGGTATTTGCAGTGATCTTCTTCATCCAGACTCTTGATGTTATTTCCATAGGGCATCTTGATTTCTTCAGTTTTCACTACTTTCCCCGTCTCTTGCAGTTTTCCAAAATCATCTTGTCAATTAGGAGCTGATCTTTTGTTTCTCTGCTATTTGGGTGGTTTCCTTTCTGCTCAGATGGAAAGAGCTTGTTTTCAGCTAGATGCTGTTGGGCTGCATCAGCTACTACACCAGTTAGCAATTTGAAAGTTGTTGGTAAGCAGGTAATTGGCATGTAGTTGCCTGGTGCTGCCCCTTTTGTTGGATCTTTAATTATCAGGTAGGTCTTACCAGATGTTAACCAACCTTCAATTTCACCTCCTTGCAGTATGTTGTTAAACTGCTTGGCAATGAGTGGGTGCAGACCAGTCAAATGTTTCAACCAAAAACCATGCAGTTCATCTTCACCTGGTGCTGACCAATTCTTGATCTTCCCTGCCCTTTTCTCCACCATTACTGCTGTTATTACAAGTTATTTCATTTCAGCTTCTTTTTTTTCCTTCTCCACCTCCCTTATCCAAGCTGCATTCTTGTTGTATTTCTTTGGGTTGTCCCATAGCTGTGCCTAGAACTACATTGTTTCTTCTTTGTCAGGTGTTGGCTGGTTCATTGCAGTCTCTCTGTTAATGGATTGATACAGATGTTTCTGATTCTACTGAAATTGGAGATTCTGCCTGATCAGGTTTCTTTGGTCTTCTTGTTCTTCAGCTTCTTTTCTTTCATCTGTTCCAGCTCACTTGCATCTGACCTTAGCATGCTGATCTTATTTTCCAACCTGATCTTCCATTTTGGTGGTGCACTGTTTGGCTTTTTTGTTTGTTGATTTTACATCCAAGGTATTCAGTTATAACTGCAGCCATGCTGTACATTAGCTGGTTTATTTCTTGCAGTGAGCTGATGCTTACCGTACATTTGATATTACAGTATTGGTCTCTTTTAATACTTAGGCTAGTTGTTTCTTTATATCAAGCTTCAATGCAGGCAACCTTATTTTGTTCTTTTTGTGCTGTTCTAGATGCTCAGTTATTCTTTGTTTCAATTCCTCTTGCTTTTTAGTTAGAGGGCTTTGTTCTTTCTGAGGAGAAGACAGCAGAGAGGGTGCCTGGTTTAGGAATGAAAACGATTCAATAGCTATGCTGACTTCCTCTACTGCCGACTCCCCCTGGCTTGCCTCTATAGTCTGAGCTACTTCTGGCAAGGCTTCAATTTCTTTGCCCTGGGTAGATCTTTGTAATTCTTCCAATTCTACTTCCATGAATTCTTTATTTCGTATTATAAATCAACATTGATCTGCTAGCCTCTGTTCTGTTATTTCTGATTCTGGATGCTGTTCTTTCTAGAACTGGTACATTATTTTCAGATATCCTCTTCTCATTGGACTTGATTTGTAATAGACCATTATTTCTTTGTTTTCAGTCTTTGTATATTTGTGACAGGTAAACAACTTTATTCCACTAGTCCTGCAGCTGCTGGCCCTGGTTGCTCAGCCA